CCTTTAAAACATCTTGTTCTTACGATGCCTATTACTGCAGAAATAATACTAAATAAATACTGTTCTTGCCAGTAAAAACCTGAAAGACTTGATGCTTTTAACATACGGGAATATTTACAATTTAACTAGGACTTTTACTCTCTCAACCATTGGAGAGGGGCAATGTATGGATTTAATTCTAAACTACTCTCTCCTTTGGTGACAGTGACCCAACGTTGGGTTTTTTTCCTGACTTGATAAATATTTCAGCCTTGTTTTCAGTATATATCTGTCTTCTCTTTTTGCTGTATGTTCTTAGGGATCTCTCAGACTTCATATCCCCTCTTTCCCAAATCTAAATTTACCCATAATTACTCACTTTAGCACACTACTAGGCAAAGCTATTTTTGAGAGTCTGGCTTTTAATAACTTTTGATTTGAAAAGTTGACAGGTTGAAAGTCCTTATCTACTCTGATTTCAGTGGAAATTAGATACATAAATATCTTGGTGGAACTGAGCCATCATGGCTGAGCTGCTAACAAAACTGTTTAATCTGTAAAGAAAATAGTCCTCTTCAATAGAGGACTGAATGACAACTGAAATTGCATCATTAAAAATACCTATCAACAAAATTAGGAATATAACCTCATTTTAATCCTGAAATACTAGTCTAAGGGAATTTCTAAATGTTTTAGATAAGCATGATAAAACCAAGATGAATATTCCTTTGTTTCTTTGTGGAGGAAAACCATCCTTTTTGAGCACATTACAGTTCTTTGCCAGGCTGGGTACAAAACTACAAATGCACAACTCCATCAGAAAAGATTTTTTCAATTCAGTAGTTCTGGTGAAAACAGGAGAGCTTTATCACTAACTGTTAGACCAGTTGTGGCAAGCTAACAACCATGGTCTACCAAGAAGTTGTATTCTAGGACTAGTGACGATTAGTATGTTTAATAATATGGAAGGAGAAGTGAAACAGGGAGATAATTCATTTTGGGTTTGACAGATTTACGCAATGGATACTTTATACAGTACAGTGATTTAAAAAAAAAGTAAGTTCTGGCTGCTGAAGAAATTTAGTTTAAGCAAGCATCAGGTCATTTTTAAAGGAAATACTTTTTAGTTCATTATAGCTAGTCTTTCAAAAATATAGTGAAGATAGCATCAAGAGAAGTCAGTTAAGGAATGTAAGAAGTGGTTTAGGATTAAAGTATTAAGCAGTTAGTGTTTTTTTCACTTGTGGGATTTTTTTGTTCGTTCTCAGAGTTTCTTTAAGAATGTAAAGATTTTCTGTATTTTTTGCTTACAGCAATTTCAAGCTCGTTTTAGATTACATATTATTATGTATGTTGAATCTCACCTATCCTTTTTCCTCGTGCACAGATTTGTCTGTTGTATTTTGGGTTTTTATGCAGTTAAAAACACGCTTTTCTTGAGTTTGAAATACCCTGTCATTAACACCATCAAAATTGCTTCAAAATGCAAAAAAAAAACAGGAAGAAGAAATGTTCTTTCAACATCCATGGTGTTCTTAATTGTTATTTTGTATTACTGTTTACAGGTATTATGAGGGCATGGCATTGTAAGCACTATCTGTAACTGAAGAAAAATTCAGAATCTTTTTTACAGCAATTGAACAGTTCCTTTGGTGTTTTTTCTATAAATAGAAACAGAAAATTAGAAGTTATGTGATAAAAATCAAGTAAAAAAATAAAAAAGGTGGCACTGTTTACTTCAGAGAGATCATACATAAACATACTCAGAGTTTATGGAAGTTTTATGTTGCCAGGAAATGTTCGAAGAATAAATATATTGTCTTTTTTGCACCTTTTATCTTTTCTCTCTGCTTGTACACATTCAAAATCATGTTGCAAATGTTCTTCTTTTGGGGGAAGACTAGTACTGAAGACCCTTTAAAGAAGTCCCCCTATTCTTTGGAGATGTAAATGCCATTTTACTCTAGAGGTCAATATACTTTTTTCTAAGTAAAAGAATACTTTAAAAAGATGCTTTCTTTTTTCTAAATAGTCTTACAGATTAAGGATACTACTTTTTGATATCTATAGCTAATCCATACAGGAACACACAAAGATTGCTGTTTGAGGAAAAAAACAGCTTCAAATCTGTTTGTGGCCTCATCTGTGACTTGTGTAGCAGGCATGGTACCTAGTGTGTCTGGGCAAGCCACACACTTCTCATATTCAGTAGTAAAAGCTGCATTTTTTTTTCTTATTTAACTAGGAATCCTGCATGCAGCCATATTGGTCATATCTGCTGTCATGTGTTCAAAGAAGTTTGTCCAACTTTGACTTTAAAGTCTAAAGATATCTCACATAAACGTATAGAAATTATAAACCTTTTTCCCGTAAGAGTTGCCAGTTTGTTGGTTTAGATTTTCAGCTTGGCCTCAGTAGAAAAATACTATTCCCAAAAAGTCTGGTCTATGATTTGTGGCGATTTGGCTTTTCAGTGCAGGAGTTGATGGATAATTGAAAATACTCAAAAGTGTTCAGTGCACTTTGTAGCTGTTTGTATGAAACAGTAATTTGCTGATAGCCTGGTGACTTAAATGCTGTTTCATCTTCACACAGTGAGTATATATATCCATGTTACTGTACATCTAGGAATCTGTGGTGAAAAGGAAAAACGGATAATAATATCTTCTGTACTGGCAAAGTGATGTTATGTGTAAACTTGAAGTCTGCAAAGTAGTTTTATTTAAAAATATATACTTACGTATATAAATGGGAAGTGTATGCTAGATTATTACACTTTGAGGAATTGTCTGCAACTATAGGATAATCAAGTTGAAAGAGGATTTTTAGTGGTCTATGATACCAAGTGTTCATAATCTGGATGAGAATTAATTAAATCCAAGTTCACTTGTCTGTTTTACCACAGACCTCGTGTGCTCACAAAAAGGTAACTTCCTTTTTTGTAACTCATTTTTTAATGCGCAATAATATTTCTCTCATTCTTTACTGCTCTTAAATTCTATGAGGGTGGCATGTATCTCCTTTTTCTGAATGAATGTTCCAATAAACACAAGTTTAGGCCTATGTTTTGACTGTTCTTCTAAAAGATTATCCCAATATATACCGTTGTTTTCAGGCTACCAGCTGCAAACTGAGTAACATAATATTAAAATGGCATACATGCTGATAATTCACAAATCCATGAATCACCCAGCTCAGAAGCAGTCAGTCGGTTCTAAAACCACTGTTGATGTACATAGTGTATTTCAGCATAGACTGAAAATAATGACAGCAACAGGTGTTGCCTGTAGAGCAAAACTAGAGCAAACCTGAACCTGTTGTGAGCACTATAGAACTGCTTAAAGCCAAGAATGTCTCTTTTCTGAAAGGTCTAGAATTGTCCTATTCATATATATGCATAGGTTTTTTATGCTTTGGATGTATACAGTTACCAGTCTGTGGATAACTGTGCTGCTCCAGTTGCAGGAAAAGGAAGCTTGATTAAACGTGTTTGTCCTATTGAAAGTTGGGAATGTTATTGGTTTTTAGATGTATGGATAACACTGTGAAAAGGTGCTGGGAGCAAAAAGTGGCTTTTGCTGTTGTGTCAAAATTGAGAAACGGTAGTATGCAGCTAGTCCTGAAATCAGCTAGGATGTAATGAAAGAGAGCAAGGGTTCTTGATGGCAGCCAGAAGAAAATTAGTTTTCTTTAGGGAGATATTTTCAGAATTCCCAGATATGTACTTTCTCCTGTCTCCCTTATTTGTGAAGACAGAGCCAAGCTTATAGTCAGCTTTTTTCATTCTTTGCTTGATGTACCATTTTCTGGAACCACTTCTTATTAAACATTTTCTGTAAACCAAGAAGCTAAGCAAATAGTTACCAAGTATGTGATATATGTTGATAATAGGATGGACAAGAGGTAAAAAATACCTTGATGCTTGAGTTGGGAACAGCATATTCTTAGTGAAGGGCAAGGGAAGGATTTTCATGTATCTGTTTTGTGTGGTTTTCAAATTTACCTTTTAGCATTCAGAACAATCTCAGCTATTCTGGATGTCTCATTCTACCTTTTGTCTCTGCTAATGTAGACAGCAAATGGATTCCATAAAGGTCTTCTCTTTACAGGGGAAATCATTGCTTGTGACTTTGACTTCCTTCAGTCTATGCCATGGTTCCTTAAATTCTCATTCACCTTCTGTTTGTTTGTTGCTGTGTTCCTCTGGCAAAATTTCTCAAACCTAAATATTTACAAGAAGTTGTAAGTCTGGGCAATATCTCTTTTGTGTAGTATTTCTATTTAACTGTTGAATGATCCTTTTCTCCTCTTGCAGAAAATTTTTCCTAAAAAATTTTAGTCTTGCCTTCTTTTTCTCTTGGGCATTTTCTTTCAGTCTGTCCACTCTCTTTTTCTTAGGCACGTTCGTACTATGAAGTTCTGGGGGAGAGGCATTTTCTGTTTCTCTTGTAGCATTTCTTAAGGTGCTTCTTTTGCTTGTATAGCAGGTGCTCTTGTACCACTGTCATATCTGTGGCAGTAAATTCTTTAGATCATTAGATTATTTTAGTGTATCCAACTTCACATAACCTGGGTCAAAGAATGTACACTGTAGACAGTGAAGAAAGGGACATGAATGACTGAAAAGTGTCCAGTTGTTTGGGTTTTTTGCTGATGGGACAGTTTTAGGACTCTGCAAATTATGCATGTTTATGTTGTGCTATTGTTGTAAGTTTTACTACTGCCTACGCTACTTCTTTATGGGGTGTAAGTGTGGCTTCTGATTGCTTGTTTAATGATTATTAAATGACTCCACAATTTTTGTGCAGTTAAATCATAACTCTAGGAAAGAGCAGATGTATGTGTGCATATGGCCCTGTTGTGTTCACTAAAATAGTTATATTGTATTACCAACAAACAAGCTGAAAATTTGATATTAGCAGTAATTTAAAAGAATTAAGCACCTAAGTATATGGTGAAAAGACTCTCTAAAAGCTGTTTTTCTTGTTTTTTTAATTTACGTTTTTTCTTTCTGTTTCCAGGTTTTCTCAAATAATGATGAAGCCCTTATTAACAAAAAACTACCCAAAGAACTTCTGTTAAGGTAATTCAATATAATGTGTTAAGGGGTAAAAACCTTTGTATTGTATATTTCTTATGTGGCTTATAGGCTTCTGAGTGCTAGTAATTCTTTCTTAAGCCTGTCTTGAAATAAATGCTAATATATCTGATTTAATTCTTAGAATTCTTCACGTTGTTGTTTATTGATGAGTCTTGATTTGTTTTAATGTGTTCAAATTATACTATCCTGTGGAAGATGTCATTAAATAGTGATCTTTTCCTTGCATATCAGAAAAAAAACAAAGCAAAATAAAATTTCCAGAAAGCTTTGGTGTATAGAGTAGTCAGCTCTTCCACACTGCAGTGTTTTATCTGTTTGAAGAGCCTATGATCTTTCTCTAGTGTGGTTCACACTCTTCCTGTCATGAACTTTGTTATAACAAAATAAAATATAAATTCAAAGCTTTCAAAGTCACTGAAGTGAAAACCATGGCCTGTTACTTCCAGTCTGCGTTGCACAAGTTAGAACCAACAGGAAGATTTTTCCTCCTGTAGTCATTCATCTGATCATAAACGTAATGAACTTGGTAGTGTGTGAGTAGATGACCTTCGCAAGCTATAGCACCAAGATCAGTACTTACTCCATGGCTGAGACACTAATGGTTGTCTTCATGCACTCATCTTGTTGAAAGTTGATTTCATTCAAAGTGTAAACTGCTAGATGTGGAGATAGATACTGTTTGACTGGATGTGACCACTTCAGAGCTGGAACTGGAGCAGCTCAGCAACATCTTCCATACCTGCATATTGGTTTTGTTCCAGCCCACTCTTTGAAGAGTAGGGGAGAGCTGTTCAATTATAATGGTGCAATTACAGTTTTTAGCAATTATATTATTAAAATTGAACTGATAATCTCTTTTTCTCTCACTAAAGAGACGTTTGGTTTAGCTTGTATGTATGCCATTGCTTCCTGTTTGATTTGAAGTGGAAGAACGTCTCAAAAGATGGTATTTTGCATCTTGTGTCTGAAAACAGTGCTCTTAAAATATTATGACTTCTTTAGTGTCTGTACTATCGCAGTGTTCTCGTGGTGGTATTAAAGAAGCAGTCTGTTTAAAAAAAAAAAAAAAGAATTTTTAAAAGATTTTATTTATTGTTAAGAAATACTCATTTCATATGGTGACGGTGTTGTAAATTAGACTCACAGACCTGTTTAGAAAATGTGATTAAAAGAGACATCACTGAATGATGCCCTGGATAAAAATTCTACTGACTTTGCTTTTCATGCTGTAAGTCCTCTATAGTAGTCTGTAGCAAATACATTATAGGTATTTAAAATCAGAAGCCATCAAATTTGTTCAGGTAGGTAAAATTGCAATCAAACAGATTATGAACCAAATTGATGGTATAGCAAGCAGTTGCTTATGAAAGTAAAATTTATTCCCGTTCTCTGTATTTGCACAAAAATGTTTTTTGTAAAGGGAAGTTTAATAGTGCCTTGTGCAAGTAGCTTTAATTAAATTAAGTCCTTACTGAATTAGTTCAGAGCAACTACAACACTCCAATATTATACTACTCAATATAGGAAATTCCTTTAGATAAAGGTGAGGGAAACATTTGTTAACTAGAAATACAGATATTAACATTGACAGGAATGCAAGCAAAACCAGTAAAACTGGTAACAGCATAGTATAAAATCCAGACTCTGGTGGAATCATACTCATGTCCAGTGGTCCTTACCTCCAAAAAAGTGATCAGCAAACCAGCCAGAATGAACCACAGGCACAGGTCATGAACAAAGTAAAGCCTCTGGAAAGTGGTTAAATATTTTGATCTTTAGCCAGAGAAACAAGAGAATCATAATTCTTTAGGATTCTTTAAGACTTACTGGATGTTCTCAGAATTCTTATGTGCTTTAGTGGCAATCGTTAAATAATATCACACTAACAATACTGGTTTTATTTGTTTTAATGTTATTTACTCAGTGTTAAAATGGGTAATAATTTAACTTCTCTATACCTTCAGCCCTCAAGGTAGTGTATCTAGACTCAAATACACATTGAGAATGCAACAAGTTACAATTTTCTATTTAATCACTTTTTAAAATAAATGTTTCCATGTATTCTGAGGTGAGAATGGGTTTTAAAACTTTCCAGTGATTTACCTCAAATTCAGGACAGAACTTGTGCTTGCTGTGTGAAAACAAAAGGCTCAATCCATAGCTTGGTGGTCAGCATACCCCCTTCCTAATACGGAAAAGGTCTCACACTCACTTTTTTTTTTGCACTGCTGCATGTATGGTTTGTCTGCTTATGAAATTCTTACCAAGATCAATTCCAGATGCAAGTTTATATTTTTCAGTTCTTTGCCTTACCAGCTGGCACTTTGTATGCGTTTTCTGGATTCTTTATAGGAGATGCTGACCACTTGCAAACGATTATATGATCAATTAAGTTTGGCCTTTTGAAATTGGAGTAGGTAGCTGTCATCCTCTATTTAATATGCTTAAGTGATATATTTTTGTTCACAAACAAATGCAAGAGTAAGCTTAAAACTGAATATTTTGGGCAGAGATGTTTCAGATGGAATTTCTTTTAAAAATGTGAGAGGCTCTAAGAACACAATCAGAAAGTGGCACAATAGTGTTCTTGTTTACTTTGTTAATGCAGAAGAGGAGATTTGGGAATCAAATACATATTTTTCTTTTTTGTAAAGGTGCTGAGTAAGATCTGTGAATTGGAAAAAGGAAACACTTTTTAATGTTTCTGCTTGAACAATTGGGACTTGTTATAAATGGAATGTTTCATTATTACCTGGTTCAAATACAAACAACTCTGAGTAAGAACAGGCTTGTGACAAAGGATCAGTCATGGGAACAAACAAAAATAAATAACAAGCATTTGAAGCAGACGTAACAGCTAAACGGGATGTAGCAAGGACTTACACGACTCTTGGAACTCTTAGGTTACCTTTTACTTTGCTTCATTTTGGTTTATTTGCTATTAAGTCTTTCAATAGAATGCTTTTTAACTGATAAAGACTTACTGCCATTTACAGCTTTGTTTACGTTGAAACTGGAGTCTTATTTAAACTCAACCTCTTGCTTAACAAATTATCAAAGCCAAATATTAGGAAGTATCAATGATGTACAGAAGTCATACTTCTTATATGGAACTTTGAGGGGCAGAGAGGGAAATGTTATAATTTCCATGCTAAAAGTGCCATCAAAACATAAAGGTAGTTCAAAAGATGCTCTAACTCCCTAAAAAATATAGTTTTGTTAAATGCTGATACTAGACAGTTTAATACCAAATGCTCATGCTTTTGTTTTTGTCTGTAACTCTGGAAGTATTTATAGAGTTTTTTGTCTGTAACTCTGGAAGTATTTATAGAAGAGATGAGCTTTCTTACCTGTGTCATCCTGAAGCAGACACGGGCATCAGGAAGAGAAGTCTTTTATTCAGGGTCATCCTCCAGGCCAGTAGCAGAGCTACAGGTTGGATCAAGTCTATGAAAGCCTAGTCCAGCAACTAAACAAAGTTTCCATAACTTTTATGGCTGTAGTGGTCGTGGCTTTTGGAGCACCCCTAGGCTGCATGCCACCAGGACGTCGTGTTATTTTTCCACATCTCTACATGGCCACTGTGATCTCTGACCTTCCTCTGAGCTTATGTAGATATATGGAATGGAATGTCTCTGGCCAGTTTTGCTGTCTGTCTAACTCAGCCTCCTATGTGGGGGTCATAGATCTCCCCATAGCATCTGAGCCTGCAGAGTAAAGATGTGACCTTGGAGTCCCAGCAGCTACAAAAACATTCCACTGTTATCAGTCCAAGTTGGAACACTTTGCTACTAGTTAAAAGAAAGCTTACTGAAGGAAAAAAAATATGGTAAAAGGAAAAGTGGCTTAATCCTGGCTCAAACCAGGACAGTGCTCTAGGTAAGAGCATCTATAGCTAAAACTTTGATAAAAATTGTGCTAATGAAGCTACAGAGTCATAAGAGCTGCAACATGCAGGCTTCTAGAAAGAAAATCATAGCTATTCTTGCACTTACAATAATTTATTAAACTGGACAATCCATGGAGCTTGTAAAGTTAGAAATCTGGATCATCCCCCTCTAAAAATATTCCAATTTTAGAAAGGTACAAAGGATGTTGTGGAGATTTTGATGTGCTTGAAGGATGATTGTGGGAGTGCTGGGAGTCCTCTTAGGTTATTACCACTTAATTTCTAGGTAAAACATGTCTTGCCTTGTCCTTCTGTTTGAAAAGTAGTATTTGGTCTTTAATGAATATTGTCTTGGGAAATGAGAAAGATTATTTAAAAAAACTAAATAAACAAAACAGACAAAATGTCATAGCAAAGAAAGGTTTTTAAAGCTTTCTACTTTGGCTTCCTTTTTGGAAGCCCCACAGCAAAATTCCTAACCACTACTATAAAAGACTTAATGATGTCAAATATTAAGATTCTTATCTAATAACAGTTGTAACTGTTTTTCTACTAAGAGTCTTGCGTCATGCTATTACACGAATTAGGATAAGCAAAACAATGAAGTGATTGTTCAAAATTGTTAGATCAACAGCTATTTTGAGTGAAACAGCCAAGAAAGGATGCTGGAACTGATTGTAGCATATATCCCCTTTTGTGAGACATTAGATAAAATTTGTTTCATGGATTGAGCTTTCCTCGAACACTTACATGTAGGAAGTTTTGTGTTTGAGTCTTAACTTCTAAAAGGTTACAAAAATACAACCTTTGAAGTTGCATTGCTTATCCATAATATCCAAGTAAATCTAAATCAACAATGCAAAAGGGATGCGTTCATGTGCCATCTTCTGTGTTTCATTTTCAGAGTAAAGTTGTAAATTGCATAATGTAATTGCATCTATTACCTACATAATTCAGCCTGCAAAAGAAACTACCATGTAATGAAGTTGCTGTTTTCTGTATGTTTAATGGTAAATTAAACAGAACTGGCCCTTCTTGAATTTATCATTGGGCATTTTGTTTCAGACACTAAGAGAATTAGGTACTGAAACTG